GATCGAGCTCTTGAACTTGCTTCTTGAAAGTTCCCTAGGTGAACTACCCTGCTCACTTGATTGACCCATTGCCTTGAGGATTCTGATTCTACAAGAGATGCTTTCTTCCATAGTTCATGGGCAAGCCATGTATTATAAATAATATTCAAATCAAGTGACTAAGTGAGTCCTCTGTGGTGCAACTTAGTGTCCCGGTAGTGCACAAACACAACAACATTACCACCTTATCTTCATCTTTTTTTTTCCCCTTTACTTTCAAGTTCACAAATGATTTTTTTGAAATCATTCAAGTGATCGAAAAGTTTGGTCCTTTTCTTTCGTCCTCAAGCTAAACAATTTTCTTTTCAATAGAATCCAGATTGCGAGAGACTTGTTTTGACTGACATTTGAGAGCTTTTCCCCACAAACCCCTAGATGTCTTTCTTCCACTATGTTGAACAAGACACTATGCACCAAACACGAATGGGTAGTAGCCAAAGCTTTGAGGTCCATTTCTACCCAAGTCTCGTCACTCATGGACTCTGACTTCTTATCCTTTCCAAGTAATGCCTTGCATTATCCTCTTTGGACCAAAAGGTTTGAGCCTATGTATTCCCTAGCTTGAAATTCTTTTGACCATCAAATTTCTCCACCTCAAATTATGTATTCATCTAAATTGGCCATGTATTTTTCTCTGCTAAGAATACAAACCTTGGCCCTAAACACTTGTGCTCTGATATCAATAGCAGGGTCCTTGGGAAACCGTACTTGTGAAACTAGGAACCCTAATACAAAGATCCTAACCAAGATCGTGTACATAGTTGATTAGATGCGAGATGAGTGAATACAACATTACACCTAGACGTAAAAAAAGTGAAAAATAAAGCAAACACAAAATGATACCGCTATGATGCATGATTTTTGTAGTTCACCCAAAAAAGGCCATGTCCACGGCCCTGGTAAGGTAAAATCCACTAGCATAATGAAGATTGCGGTTATCACTTACAAGAGATATGCCTCTCTCTAAACATTAGCTAAACCTTTACCAATGTATCTTTCTTAACTGGTTCTCCACACCGAACAACGTCGCTAATCAACTTCTCTCTTTATCACCAATACTGTAAAGATAACCTTAAGAGCAACCAAGAGACTTTCTCTCTCTAAAAGTGCGGAGCGAACCAAGCCTGAACGTTATGAGAATACCGCATCTCTCTAGGACGCCATATCTCTCTCTTGGAGATCCCTTCCCATAACCCCAAAGGGTTGACCCCAAAAGGATTGTATTACCTCTCTTTAGTCTTCTTATAGAGAGATTATTATCATTTCTTTGTTGCTTTCCAAGAGCCCCCCTTTTTCTAGGGGTGGCAATGGGTTGGGTATGGGTCGGGTTCTGCTGGACTTGTACCCGTACCTGAAGTAGCATATAGGGACTTGGACTCGTACCCGTACCTGAAGTAGCATATAGGGACTTGGACTCGTACCCTTACTCGATAGGTCCAATTTAGCCTTACCCATACCCATACCCAACGGGTAATGCCAGATCCGAGATTCGAACCAATACCCAACACTAACCAGGGGGTTTTGAAATAGTTTTTCAATGAGGGGGTTTATGCCTCTACTTTTATAGATCTCGACCCACATGGTTTCTTTTTATTCCCATTAATGTGGGACTAAACCAATCTTCTTAAGATGAAAAATTCAAAAACGTTCTCTTTAGATTTTTTAAGGTGCATTCATAGTTTCAAAAAGCGGACTGCCCAGTGCCTGGGTGGCCGCCTAAGATGATCTCCTTGGGCGCCAGCCTGAACCCGCCTAGGCGGCTGCCCAGGGCCTGCACCCCACCCAGGGGCAGAAATGTGGTTCCTTGAGGGTATTTTTTGGTCCTTTTTTTTAATACTAAAGAGGCAAAATTGTGGGTTTTAGGTTCATTTGAAACCTAAAACCCATTAGAGGCTATTTTAGAGAGAGAAAACCCAAGAACAAAAAAATTTCTACTGGGCCATCCAGGTTCTAGGCACCAGCCTAGGCGCTGGGCGGCCTGGACCACCTCGACCGCCTAGGTGCCGCCTAGTGATTTTTGAAACACTGGGTGCATTAAAAAACTCTTTCTTTATGCCTTATCTCGCTTGGCTTTATGCCTTAATCATGATGAAACTTTGGGTTGCGTGAAGAGAGGGCACTTGGCGGGCCTTTCTTAGAGAGAGAGACTGAGAGAGAGATAGGATGTGGGACTGGACGTCAGAGAGTGCAGGGGGAGAAAAGAGAGATAGAGGAGAGTGACTTTATGACTTATACCTTATCTAGCCAGTCTTTAATGCTTTATGCCTTAATTATGATGGAACTTTGGGTCGCACGCAGAGAGGGCGGCTTGGTAGGTTTTTCTTAAAGAGAGAAACTGAGAGAGAAATAGAGAGAGGATGCGGTGGGGCTGGACGTCAGAGAGTGCAGGGGAGAAAAGTGAGAGGTAGAGGAGTGTGTCAAACATGCATAAGGTGGAGAGAGAAAGGTGAATTATTTGGTTGTCATAGAAAGAGAAAAAACAAAGGAGATGAAGGAAAATAAGAGGGAGACATTAAATTGAGGAAGAAAGAAGATAGGATTAATCCCACATCAAAGAAGTGTATAGAATTTTCGGGGTGTGAGCTCTATAAAAGAGGCGGGGGAACATAGGGTTGGTTAAAAAATTAAATTAATAAAATAATAAAATCAAAGTTAATTATTTATAATAAATACGAGTCCGGGTACCCATTGGGTCTGAAATTTTTGAGTTCGAGTACAGGTATGGCTATACTCGACCCAGCGGGTACCCGGACCTGTATTGATATATATAGTTAATCTTAATTTTATTATTTTATTGATTTAATTATTTAAACCGGCTTTAAGTTCCCCCACCTCTTTAATAGAGCTTCCACACCGAAAATTCTTTACACCTCTTCGATGTGGGATTAATCCTATCTCATTTCTTCTTCAATTTAACATATCTCTTCTCTATTTCTTCATCTCTTTTCTTTTTTCTCTCCCTATGACAATCAAATAATTCACCTTTGTCTCTCTACTTTATGCATGTTTGACACTCTCTCACACTTTTCTCTCCCTACACTCTCTGACGTTCGGCCCCACCGCATCCTCTCTCTCGTTCTCTCTTTCATCCTTTCTCTCTAAGAAAAACTTGCCAAGCCACCCTTTCTGCACGTGACCCAAAGTTCCATAATGATTAAGGCATAAATCATTAAAGCTTGGTGAGATAAGTTATAAGCCATAAAGTCACTCTCCTCTTTCTCTTTTCTCCCCCTACACTCTCTGACGTCCGGCCCCACATCCTATCTCTCTCTCGGGTCCGGGTATGGTCATGGGTCCGGGTCCGGGTCCGGGTCCATATATGCTACTTCAAGTACGGGTACGGGTCCAGCAGGACCCGACCCATTGCCACCCCTAATATATGTGCGACCAAAATGCGTGCGTGCATGCATGCATGCACACACACACACACACATAAAGAGCAAATACTAAATGACTTAAAATACAAGACCACAACTACATGCTTGTACTCCAAAATCTACGACTCTGATGTCCTTATTATTAGTCCATACACTTCCAAAGTGGCAAAATCGAAATCTCAAAACCACAATGTTGTGAGAACTGAGAAAGTCATAGAAGTGAAGTGATACAAATAATTCTACCAACCAGCACACATAGGCATCAGCCGGGACCAGCTGGTTTATGGCACTGGAATCAGTTTGAAAGGTATGGTTTTAGAGCCATGACACCTATGTTTTTGAAGCTTACAAGAGGTACATGGCTGAAGCAAGCTTTAGATGGTTGATTAGATTGCTTCAGCAAAATTTATGGTTGCATGGCCGTTATTTGCACCAAAAATGTTAGTACTTTTCCTAGGCAGGATTTGTGACAAGCATAATAAGAGGAAGCTTAAATCAATATTTTAGGAGCCCAACATTTCGAGAAACATATTTCTTCTGAAAAAAAATAGAAATTTTTGGGTGCTTACTTTGTTGATAAAACACTTCTATTAATAATTTGCTTTTTGGACAATCGATATAGAATTGTGATACACATTTCTTTAAGGTGACGGCCCACAACATCCAAGTGTAAGTAATTTCATGTTAAATCTAAATTTTATGCTGCACGAAGAGGTTTTTAAGAGGTATACACTGGAGAAACTCCCCCCCAATTGTGAAAAGGAGCAAAGCTCATGGTGTTCAACATTGAAATTCCAATCATTGCCTAGGTGTGATTCCAAGTGGGGTAAGCATGGTTTAGCAAATTTGAAGTCATCACTGCTGCTGTTTTGCATATTACACTTACCTTAATTTCTCCATGTTAAAAAATCCATGATTGATGCTTGTGTTGTTACAAGCATAACACTAGATGCTGTGGCATTATGAAATTTGGGCTGCTTTTTGTTTTGTCCAAATATCAAAAAATTATTATTAGTTTGAATAAAAAGGCCATTGTGAACAAAATAAAAACATGTTGTTGTCAGCATCTGTGCAGAGTCTAGGCTCGGTAGATCAAGCTTAAGCAAAAGATCAAATCCCAAGATTGGGCCATCACTTGATGGGACAATAAAGAACTTCTACAATTCCTAGCAATTTATGCTTGAATTAGTATTCAGATTAATATGCATGTATGTCAGTTGGCATATGTTGACATTTTTTGTGATTTGAAGATCATTTATAGCTGTTTAAACTTTGAAGCATTGATAGTTCAATTCTCCACTTTGTTGCATTATGCCAAACTTTCATTTGTTATATTTAGGTAGGGGATCATGAATCAACACTTGGTTTTTATGGGTATCTCTTATATGCCCCCATTTAAAGGGAGATGTTCTTGTTTCAATTGCAAATACCGGATAAATCTCTTTTTTTGATAAATGTAAGCACTAACTGATGCTTTGGTTTCTTTCTCATTGAATTTTAAATTTGTGGTTTTATACGATCGTATAACAGATTTTGATTGTATTGCTGTTCGATTTTCATAGCGAGCTGCTTATTGGCTTTCAGGGACTGGTACAATATCGAAAAGTCCAAGCGTGTTAAAGCATTTCGGTGTGGTGAATATGATGAGTGCATCGAAAAAGCCAAGGCTTATGCAGCTCATCCTGCCAAGAAAGCTGTCAAATATGCTCGTAGAGAAGATGCCATTCTCCATGCTCTTGAGCTTGAAAGTGCTCGCAACTCGAAAGCGAGTGAGAATATCTACTCGAGGACTGATCATTCACTTGGTTCCAAAAATGGTATTTTGGTTAAGCAGTCACAAAACACTTTAGCCCCTGGTAAAGATGAGAGGGGTTACAAGTTTGGGCAGTTAAATATATTAGAATCAAATTTAACTCAAGAAGCATCTGAATCCGTTATATCCTTTGAGCAAACAGATCATTATATGCAACGGTCAAAAAGAAAAACCCCAAATGATTCAGAAGATGATGGCGGTGCAAAACGCATGAGAGGTCTCCAGGACCTTGGCTTGAAAGTTACCAGTAAACAAAAGCCGTTTTCTTCTCTAACTGAAGGAACACATGAGTTAGGATTTCTTGCTGATAGTGGTTCACCCAGTGAGTCTAATTTTGGTTACAGCTTGTCTAATGGAAGTCCTGTACAAAGCAGCAAGGGGTCTTCTTCTACCTTGAAAAGAAGAAGATCTCAGGCAGGCCAGGTCTATGAAAACCTTAGGAGAAAAAACAGGCGGCGCCCTCTAACAAAGGTTCTAGAGAGCACGACAAAACTTGCAATCCCTGGTAGTGATGACCCTATAGTTAGCCAAGACTTTCAAGATGGCCTAGAATCAACAGAATCCAAAGGAGCGAGCCCAGTGAATACTAATTCGGACTGCACAGGGACTTCATCTGAGAAGGAGATTTCGCTGAATGGCTCACAACACGTGTATGAAACTGGAAATGATCATCCCATGATGATTGGTAGTGCCTTTTCTGACATGTTGGAGCTCCCTGATGACTGTTATGATACAAGATTTTTGAATGCGCTGTCGGTCAAGGATGCAAAACAGACTCGAGGTACAGTTTATAATTGTTTAAACTGCTGCTTTTACATTTCCATGTTTTTACTCCTTTCCATTGCTTTGATTGCTATCCTTTGGGGTTATGTAATGCATGCTGTTTTTTTTCCTAACATAATGTATTATTTTATAGAAGATGTTTATTCATGTAGTTTTCTTCATGATTGACCTAGAGATCTTTTTTGTCTTAATTTTGGCTTCTTTTGTTCCCTCAATGGCACACATCTCTATAATTCATCTTTTAAACAATAGAAACTGTTTATCCTTTGAAAACAATACAAGCAGATTTTATTGTTTATGATTGTACTTGTCTGTTTTCTTTTTTCCATTCTTTGGTTAATGAGCTGCATGCATCTTTGTATGCAACTCTCATTATCTGGAGAACTGGAATCTAATCTTGTAAATCTTATTTTCTCAACATTGATATGTCATAGTTGCCAGTTATTAAGAGTTCAGGCTTGCACATATTTTTCCAATAAATTTAGAAGTTATGATATTTGTATTGCTGTACATCAGGAAGTTCCTAGTTTTGTGGGGCAGTTGGATATAAATCATAGCACGACACTTTCTGTGGGAGCTTCATCTTTTATTCACGGGTATGGCTCTGGGCATGCAGCCATCAGGGCTATTTTTTTTTTTTTGGTGATTTTACACACCTTTGAAGTATCCGACATGGACATAGCAAGCATTTTGAATTATCTGTGCCTCACAGGTGTCCAAATACAAGGTCCTTATTTGCCTGTTCATATTGGGCTTTTTGCTAGAAACTGATTTGGATGAAATTTCCAATCTGAATGGGATGGAATGCATTGGAACATCTGTATATACACCCTCACACTGGGCTTCCCTAGTCAAATGAGGTTGGTTCATGTCTCATGAGATTTGTACAGGAGAAAAGATCTAAGGCAGGATTTTTTTTTTGACAAGGTTACATAAGATTGGAACTTGAGATGTTGTGCTATGAAAACCCAGCAGCCCAAACCCGATTCCTAAGATCTTAGGCTGTGTTTGCAAAGGCATATGCTATACAATGAGGTGCTACAGTGTTAAGGATCCAGTGGGAGTAAATGGGTGGTTTGCAATGCTCTTTTGCTAACTTGCAGACATTTTTAAACGGATCTTTAGCCCCCATGATGTGATTAATTTGCAAAGAGCCCCTGGCCCATTGTGTTACCGTCAGTTAGATGCTGCACCCATCACATTAGTGATGTAAAGGAGTGCCACTCCCAAATCCACCTTAAACTGGCTTATTCAGTATGCTACAGAAATTGTTGTATAATGTATTCAAAACAAACCCATACTAATCTTTTATCTGCTCCTACAACTCTCAGTATTCTCGAGCATGCAAAACAAAACCATGCTCTCATACTGAAAATGAGACCTTAAGATCACCAATTCTTTGTATATCTTGATTATTTTCAGGTTTGTGATGGACTTGTCTCTTTGAAGGTTTCTGGCAAGTCTATATGTAATACAGTTGTAATTAAATAATTCTACTGCAATCCTGACAAAGAATAAAAGAATGTTGGTACTGCTTTGATTCTTCTCTGCATTGCTATTATGTGAAAAGCTCTCCTTCAGTGTGTTAACAACAGAAAGTTTCAGATTTCTTCTTCAGAGTACTTTGGCAATTTTCTGTCAACGTTATCAGGAGTCTTTAAATATGAAGTGGAATCGGTCAAATATTGAAAAACATGTTCTATTTTGGTGAATTGAGTGCTAGGTTTTCTTTAAGTTTCTGCATTTGACATGTGAAAGCCCTACTAGCTTTGGTGGCGTTCTTTCTATCTTCAACTTTTAAAAAATTTGACAGGTAGGTTGGGGTTTTGGCTGGCCCTGAAACCATCAAAGAGTAGCATTTGACCTTCAAAGCTTGATGCAGGACACTATTTGGGACTTTGTAATGGTGCATTTGGTGAAGATGTTCGTCTGGGCATTGATATAACTAACTTTTACCATGGGAAAACAAGAATTGCAGTATCCAAGATGATCTTCACTAATGGTTCTCAAGATCCATGACCGAATGGCTAAGTCATGCGCTGTCCGCATGAATAATGAGCTTGGGAAGCAGGTCCATGGCTGAGCCATTCAAGGAGAATTCAAGTCAAAGAACTCGTTGATTTAGAAAGAGGATCTGAGGTGGATTGGTGTAGAATTCATTTTAACCCTTTCCAAAACGTTAGCACAAGTTTTTTCCAAACAAGGGTACAAGTGCTAAATCAGGAACTCTTTTGGAGGGGTTTATTTTTATGAAAAAAACCTTAGGTTTGACTGAAGAAAGGTCGCAGATTCTATTGGTTGGTCTAAATCTAGAATCTGAGGCCAAAATTTGGATGTTATGCATTTTGCACTTAGTCATACAGCCAAACAGCATATTAACCTTCTACTTCGGTCAAATGGGTTCATTTGCGAAACTGTACCTATTCATGCATCCAAAGATCGTGTTAGTACTTAGGTGAAATTTGGTCGGCTTTTTATTTGCGGTTTAGTTTTGGCATTGAAACTTCCATAGGGCACAACTTTCAGTCTATTTATCTGACTTTTGTATATGCACACTCATATCGAAGCTCTTGAGGATCTTAACAAGGACTCTGCAAGGGCAATATCTGCCATACCGTTTTTGCCTGCCAGGGTCTCCAGGAAAGACCTCTGAAGTTTTCAAATCGGCCTTCAATTTTTCAGTGTCAGTTCATGGGCGGAATCATCTTTTGTTAAGGATTTTAAGGATCCATATAATAGGCAGTCTAGACCAGATCTAGGTTAGGGTTTAGTCCATAAATATAGAGTAATGTAAGGAAGTCGGTCTTCTGAGTTCCTAAACATTGAAATTCCGGGTACTACCAAAGTAGTATTCAATGGATATCTACACACTTGTCGGTATTTAGTATGTGTCAGAATATTTAGTGCGCGAGGCTAAAATACCAGTACTCATATTAAAAGGAAAATGCCAGTACTTCCTAACATGTCTGTACAACCAATATTTTTAATAATATAGGCGTGTATAATGTCATTTCCTACAATCTTATGGCTCATGCACAATCTCATGGTGGTAGCTATCTCGGGGGTAAATTTACTCACTACATCCACGTCGGTGCCCAGCCTCATTCCTCGCTCGACCAAGGCTAGCCTAGCCTTGTCACACAACGCACAAGAGAGAGTTAGAGTCAATCACATGCACAAGAGACACACAAAAGCAATCGAATAGCCAAGCCATAGCCCAACGTGTTCCACTATACAATTGCAGGAGTATACAGCTACGGTCCCCTCACTCTAGGCCGGGCAAGGGATACTTGTAACCCCCAAGGTCACATCTGAATTTCAAATGCTACACTGTACATAACGGTCATGCCACTACCATGGCCTTTTGCATGGAGGCCACCATGCCACCACGCATTCCAGGTCAGCCACCTGGCCACCCTCTAGGATCAAGTTACACACATGGCATGCCTTTATCCCACATTTTGTGCCAACAAGGCATAACTACCCACCACTCCTGCTGGTCATTACGCCCACCTTCCCCACTTCCTAAATCCATGCCACTTGGCTCCTAAGTGGAGGGGGTCGGTTACACTAACCCACTAATCTAGGGATTGACTAGCCATGCACCTGCATGGTATAGTTACAAGGGTCCACTTACACATGCACTACCACTCACGCATGTGACCTATGGCCGTTACATAAGCCCATACTTGGATAATTACTGTTTGAACCCACATAGCTGCCTTGATCGCACACCTACGTAGCCAGGTGTGTGGCTCACCTCTTGTACACTGGCCCCTTGACTATGTCTTGTCAGGTTGAGCCATCTCTTAGCCATTGGCCCACATCATCCTCTACCCATGGCCTCACACCAAGGATCTTTCACCACCAACCATGCATGTGTGCACCATGCACCTAATGCTTCACACGTTGAACCTCTCGCACGACTAAGGGAGAGAGGCACACACGCCTCTCAACTATAGTTGTATGTAAAGAACTGGACCTTCATGAGTTGTAGCTACCAAAATGGCAAAATGGCTGCTTCATGCACCAAGGGGTTCCCCCATGCCCTTGGTCACCAATGAATCGGAAGCACCACTTGGCCTGCACCATGCGCATCGTGCTGCACTAGCCGAACTGCAACATACGCACCAGCCGCATCATCTAGTTGCATCACACGCAACAGGCTTCCTTCACCAGGCTGCCTAAATCGCACGCACCAGGCTGTTCATACCATGTTGTCATGCCCCAAGTTTTGCTATGCCTAGATGCCTTGTACACTATGTGCATAGACCCATTTCTTCCATCACTTGGGCTCGAAAGGTTTTAGAGTTGTCTGGTAAACTCACGTGGGCCTAGTGGGTTTCTAGATGGGTCTTAAAGGCTGGACTTTGTAGAATGCTCTAGAGCATTATTAATGCTAGAGTGTTTTAGCCGTTGGATGTATGCCATGTGGATGTATCTTGACCGTCGGTTGTACATCCTTGAGCCCATGTAAGAGGCCCCTCATTTGTATCCAACCTGGAAAAGGTGTGGAGCCCGAGAAAGGTAAAGGCTCAAAGGTGTGAGGAACTCATACATGGTAAGGATTCTTTGGATATAATGGATTTACAATGCCCTTGGGCCAAACTCGTGTGTCCCTCTCTTGTGGTGTGCTTGGCTTATACTTGTGTGTTTGGTGCATACTCGTGATTAAACTAGTGTTTTGGTGGTGTGCACTAGTAAGTAGTACTTCGTGCCTAGTTGGTGCATGTCTGTGGGAAGGCTGACTCGTCCTTGAAGGACAAAGGAATGAGTGCCACATGGTTGAAGTGCAGGGCTTCAAGCTAGGGTCGTGACAAGTGGTAGCGGAGCAAAGGTTTGAGGGGACCATCTGGCTTGCTCGTGGGAGCTACTGTTTGTGTGGGCTGTACTACTGCGCTTGGGCTGCTAGCTTGTGGGCTAAAAGAGAGGGACGACCATGGCATTTGAGGTGATTAAAGACGACCAGGCTGATGGGCAAGGCCGTGACAGCGTTAG